GACATCCCGCCAATGATTGCGTTCCTTAGTAGGGAACCTCAGTAATAGCTCTGGCACAAATAGAACGTTTTTTGTTTTTCTTTTTTAGTAGTCATTACAGAATGGCTTTAACTAGTAACAGTGTTTGTCTGAAATAGAACTGAAGTTTACATTCCAGTTCTTTATGGAACAAAGGTTCTTTGCACAGAATAAACTTTAATGATGAATTTGAGAGTATTCTAAAAATAGGGTCTGCTGTGGAGGTTCATTACAGTGCTTGTTCCCTTCCTCAACAGTGTGGTGCAGGGATGTATATATTAGTCTCAAATAATGCTTTATTAAAGAGTCTGAATTATCAATAAATAATGTGGTTCCTAATCTAGTAACATTATAGGTTCATACATGAAACCAGGGAATTGACCAAACTTGCTCATTTTGTTGCATCAAGGGAGTTGGATTTCTGAAAACAGATTAGTGGACTGGAATCCGTTTTGGTATTAGTCAGTAATATACCTGTGACAACACACAGCACTGGGAGGGCTGTCTTTGTCTTCCTTAGCTAGTAAAATCATTTCTTTACATATAAATATATGCACAACCACGTTTGCAGCTGATACTTTTTTTTGGCCACACACAAAGCATGTTATCATTCTGAAGCTTCAGGCTGAATGTGTGAGCCCAGGTGTTGTATTTCTAATGCCCTTTGCATGAAATGTGAAATAATTGCTCAGTTGTAGAGACTGTACATATTTTTATGAAATGCAAAATACAGGCACGCTCTCTGATTTCAAAAGTCTTAGGAAAATATGTGTGTGGTGAGGCCACACCATCTTCAGAACAAACTCCTTGTGTTCTTGAATTGTAGATATCTCAGTCTTTAAAACTGGAGCAAATGGCAGAATACCTTAAATACCTTTGTATGTGTTTAAGTGATTTCACTCCTACTAAATATTCACTGGGCTTACTGCTACTAACATGTGCTGAATGCATTTTCATGAAGTAAGTGCTTTTCGTAAGTTTCTGTGCTGTGGAGCAGTGGCCTCCCTACCGAGAGGGGAAGAAACATGCGGGTATAGCAATTGGTTAAGTAAATGAAGCAAGTGAATTGTGGATAAATAAAAGTAAGTGGCAAAGAGATAATAGAGGGAAAGCAAAAAGCGCTCCTTTGCAAAGAGCAGTAGACAATGGCCACCTCTCCAAGATGGTGCCAAACCCCCAGAAGAATCAAAGGCTTCATTCTTACTGGAGAGACTGAAAAAAGGTCGAGTTCAAAAGTAGCTTTGGGTCAAAAAGGAGGGAGGAGAGGGAGATGGTTCAGTCGCTGAGATGAGTAACTTCAGTTAATGTTTAAGTGACAGAGATGTCATTGAGAGAGCTGCTGCTTAGGAAGAGACCTGCCTGGCTTATATTTTCACTATGGAGCCACATGAAATCAATATCTGAAATAGGCTGCTCCAGGTGCAGGTTGTCATTATACCCTATTTACCGGTCCTTATTGATCCTCTGCTTCCATGTGTGTGACGCTGGGTCTTTTGAGGCCACGTGTCTTGGTTGTCTTGTGGCAATAAGCCAAGCCGTTCTTATAAATCCTTCCTAATGAATTACAGGGGAAAAAACCTATACTCTTCCTTAACTGGTTAGGTCTTTTAGGAGGACAGTCAAGACTTGTGCAATTTAACCCTGGTATTTCTGTGATATAGACTGTGTCTTCATTCAAAGCTATAAACCGGCATGAATGCTGAACGTGTGCCGTAAGCCATATTGCCACTGTACCTTCACGTCATGACTGAACTTCTTTTTGTAGTGCATGGATGCAAGTGGTTTCAGGTCTAACTGTACAGAAAACTGAAGTTAAAACAAGCTTTTATAAATGAAAGAGTTGTTCTGACAAAAGTTACGTTTTCTTTGAATGTATGATTATACTGGTTTCATTGCAAATCTTTACACTGTTCCTCTGACTTCACCAGTTTCCTCACGTGAGGAATAAAGACTGACTGAGTAAAAGCCAGGGAAACTTGCAAGAAATGCATATCCTTGAGGTAAATGTCAGAGTGACGGCTCTTGGGACTAGATGTTTTGTAAGGATTTTTTTCATACAACATGACCAGCTAGAAAATATCTGTTTCCAGCTGTGCCTTGCTATTATACTGTTCAACTCTGATCTGCAAATTCTCTGGTGGGAATAAAAGGGTAATTTGTTTTCTGTGCCATTACTTTTGGCTCCCTCAGCTCTGCCTGCCAGCAAGAGTGCTAGTGAAGTGGCACCGGCTCTGGCTGTAGGCCGTAACTAGCAGCGTACCCCAGGGGTCGATGCTGGCTCTAATACTGTTGAGCATCTCCATCAGTGATCACAGTGACAGGGCACATTCGCTGAGGGTACAGAACTGGGAAGGGTGGTTCATACACCAGAGGCTTTGCTGTCATTCAGAGGGACCCACACAGGCTGGAGAAATTCAGCTGAGGGAAAAGCCAAGTCCTGCACCTGGGGAGGAGCCGCCCCAGGCACCAGTGCGTGGTGGGGGACACCCAGCTTGGTGGAAAAGGGCCTGGAGGACACTGAGCTGAATGTGAGCCTTCCAGCCCCAGCCATTTGGTGGTTCTGTAACTCTGGCCACACTTTCAGCGAGGTGGTTTCTCATATACCTGTTCTGAGGAAAACAATTTATTTTTACCTTGTCCATGTATACTTTTTTAGTGAGCTTGGACTTCGTAATTTCAAAAAAGAATGAGATCTGAAGGAAGTTGCGTGGTGAGCATCATGAGGCCAATACCTTTGCTGTAAGTTGAAGTAGGTAGTACAGCCTGGAAAAAGCAGGCCTGGGTGGTAAATTGTGAAGCATTTGTAGCAGTAGAATGGCTTAGTAATGCCGAGAGTCCTTTCCTGTATGTATTAAAAATAAAAACGATGGTGGGCCTAATCTCAGACACATGCATGAGTGTTTTCAGCAGATAGTCTCTGGATTTAGAAAAAAAGATAAGGTCTAATATGCTAAGGAGGAAGGGTTTATTAAATTTTTACAAAACTTTTAGACACATTGAGTCCCTGATAATCTGAGCAGCAGATACCTGTGGTTAGGTTTTTGAGGAAGTGTCTTCTGTAGGCATCTCAATATTATAACCATAGTTTTTCAAAAACATTGTGAGGCGTAATGCTATTGAATGAGATACCAGAGTCTGAAAAGCCCCACTCAATAAACTGATATGTTGTGCAGGAAATTGATGATATATCAAAAGATGTTTCTCCAGATAGCAATCACTGGTATAGCTTCCCAGAATAAATGTGAAATTCGAACACAGAGAAGCCTGTGTCTGCTTGTAATGGTGCTGGTTTTGTGCGCAGAGTTCTGGGCTGGTGTGGAAAGGGGTCTGACACATGACAAAACGAATGAAAACGCTTTCAGCCAGCAGTACTTTCTTGTGACCTTAAGCATTCCTTTGTTTGTGTGTGAGATTAATTCAAGGAACATTTGATGGTGTTTTGTTTTTAATGACCAGATATACTGGATAAAAGCAGGTCCTGCAGTTAAAAGCTGAGGTATATATTTAAGCTGAAGCATATTCTCCCAAACAGGAATAGAATTATGAATGTATGTCCTCCTATCAAATCTTTGTGCACAGGGCATAGAAGGCAACATCCATGGTGGCTTTCTTATTTACTTACTGATTTATTTGGAATAGCAGAATGTTTTCTTCAATCTGTTTTTAATGGTTAATCTATAATTTGATAGTTAAGCTGGAATTTTTCGTCTGCCCTCAAAGTTTGGGAATGAAGCAGTGCCCACTGGTGACAAACCGCTTATCTTGCATTCAAGTCACTCGGTAGAAGGAACACCAAGGTACAGGACTGGGTTTTGTCATGGTGTGATGGGTTGTACCTGCACCTCTTAAAAATAAGTGTGCCTCGGTTAGTTCTGTTAAACTAAAAGTTACTGTCGTAAGGGGCAGTGATCTGAGCGGAACCACAGCAGTGCTCGCAGAGACCTGTTGCGTGTGTCCCCTTGGGTGGGATCAGCTGTGGGCACAGCTTCTGAACCTGGGAGATACACCAGGAAATGTGAAGGCTTCAGGGTGAGTGTAGTTCAGGCTCTGGGAGGCGGGCAGGTGTTGTCTGGTCAGTCGGTTTGCTAGTGTTTTACAGGCCTCTGGAGGTGACCTTTATACTCAGTGTGGGGAGTTGCATGAGTGGGCATTGTGTGCCCCGACTGAGACACTGCTGAAGTGACCAAACTCATGAAGGAGCTGAGCAGCTGCACTGAGCAGCGTTCTCACAAACTGGCCTAAGTCCATCTCGTTCCACTTTCCTATCTAATAAAGTAAGTGATCTTTGTTCACACGTGGATGTCTTGGAGTTGTCCCTTACTTACCCTTGTGACTGCACGTGTGCGAGAGGGGGTTTGGTTTTTCCCTGTTTTACGGGAGACAGACAGGGCATGAATTGACTTGTAATCTGTGTGTGTGCTATCTTACAGTGCTCCGCACGATTGTGTCTTAGAGCTTTTCAAAAGCTGTGAGGAAGGGGGCTTGTCGTATGTTTTGTGTTATGTTTAGAGGATTCGAGAGCAAACTGCTGCAGTCATCTGACTGCAGAGAATTTTGCCTTTGCTCATTTCGTTTAATCTCTAAAAGTCCTTATCAAAAATCATTACTGTTTCGAAGTCTCATGAAGGTGTAAGAGCCTTGTGCCTCCTGAAGGAAGCCCAAAGCAGTTAATTTGTTGTTTCTTTTCAAGGCAAGGTGCAATGTGTCTTTTGTGTAGCCAGCCTTGGCAATGCTTTCCCCTCCCCAACTTCTTTGTCCCCCTTCTTCCCTTCCCCCGCCTCCCCAATTATTTTTCCAGAGCCCTTGGCTTGCTGCTTCTGGGGCAGCAGCAGCAGCTGCTAGTGCTGTCCTGTAATTCTTCCATCCCGGTCACAGGGGACTGGAAGGGAGAAGACGGTCTGTCTCAGCAGCAGTCCACCAGCTGCTGCTACAATGCATAATGCGTAAATTTGCAAAATATAGCTTTTAATTTTGCTTTGCAGTCAGAATGAAAAACTAGAACACACCACCACTGCCATCATTGATTGATTAATAGAAATCTACGTCCTCTGCTCCTTGGTTCAGACTCAGACCAAAAGTACTGGAAGTGGCTAAAAATAAAAGGTAAGAAACCTGACAGACTTTAAAACTGATGGAGTAATTAACAATGCAGTGTTGTATATGTATGCTTGAGAATACACCATAGGAAAAAATCTGTTGAGTAACACAAAATATTCGACTACATCAGAGTATAAAATTATGCTTATGGTCCTATTACTTTCTGAAGTGTGCAGATAAGCAGGGTTTCTTTGTTCAAGTGTCAGTGAATGAGGGAGTTGTACATAATCTAGCATAAGCAATTTTCCTGAAAATGTATATTGAACTGCATTTTTTGGTCTGGGGGCTTTCTTTTGAGGGATCAGAGAGGAGGAAGGAGAGTAGGGAGCGTAGTTGCTATTCATTGTCTGCTAGCCATGAGGTTAGAGCATCAACAATGCTCTGTTCTGTGCCCAGTTGCATACTCTGAGTAAGGAAGCAGCACACAGAAAAGGTAAGCAATCCCCAAAGTACCCTTATAAACAAGTTTGTAACCTCTTTAAGTGTGTATTCAAGAATGACCAAATCTCCTTGTTAGACTGTTGGAGAACCAGCCAAAACAGGCCCTGAATTTGTGATGGAACTGGTATTTGCTGAATAGTTTGACTCAGCGTGTAGTTCAGAAGACCTGAACTGTAAAACACTATTCATCCATAAAAATAATTCATGTGGTTGTGGCGCACATTGTTGGCCAAAGAAAGACTGCTGTGTGTAGAGCTGAGAGAACTAATTTTATCACAAGTCAGTTTTGCAACCAATGTCCCTAGAGACCATGTTGCCTTCTTTGTTTTTTCTTTAAGTGCTCTGAAGTCCTTTGTTGTAGAAGCTGTAAGGGAACTGCAGTGCATGGAGGCTGGCACAGGAACTTTTCTGTGCCCGGTTGTTATGGGGAGCACGAGATGGTCTGTGTCCAGGCTTCCTTGCTGGTGGAGGAGCTGGTGGCAGCTGGCTATCTACTTCTCTCAGTTGGTTTCATTGGGATCAGGGGACTCGGAGAAGCCAGCTGCCGTGTTGGCATGCCTGCTAGAGGTTGTGCGTGAGGGACAGTGGTGATGGTGTTGGCTGTGGGCTGCTGCCCTCCAGCAGGCACCACGGAATAAACCCAAATACTGAGCAATCGCTGCTCTCATTTTGACAACGTGTCCACATTTTAACTGTTCAGCTGAACAGCTGCGAGTATGCTAGCATGTGGATTGTACATTTTGCTACTAATTAGTATACGGTGGGTCCAAACCAAAGCTTCTAATGCAAATTCGCCTGGATTTGTGTGGGAGCAGATCTGGACCTTGCCTTTGTGGAACAAACTAAATCTACTAGTCATGGCATGGTGTAATCTTGTGCCAATTCCCAAAATCACCCGTCCTCATTTTTGCATGTTTGATGTGATGCTAATATCAACAATCTGAAGTGATAGCGTAAAGAAACTCTAATCTCATGACATATTACTCCCAATAAATACATTGTACAGACATGCTGGCAGAAATAAACTCAAACTAGATCTGTCTTTGGGACTCCAAATAAAAATACAATTAAAATAGTTTAAAGAATCAGCAAAGCGTACTACATGTATGTGTATGTGTGTGCAGCTATTATCTAAAATTTGTTGGATTTTTTTTTAGTCTATGAAAACTATAGCCCCAAGTGTACCCTGTGCCTTCCAGCTCCAGGGCAAATACAGTAAGAAGAGATTTATTATATGGTGACCCATTATACAGGCACCTGGGAGGTAAGAGAAAGGAAGAGGAGTGTTTTGCCCTGAAGTCCTTCCAGATTTTTTTTTCAAATAAACATGGTATGCTCAAATATTTATATAAAAGTGGTGTTCAGTGGTCTCACTTAATTGAGGAGGGAAGTCAAATCCAGTGAAGTGCAGACGGCTTGTGTAGTTCAAGTGCAGTGTTTTGGGTATACTGCCTACACACTTGCAGAGAGAGAAGATAGAAATGAAAACAAGTAAGAGAGACTGTGTTCACAAATACAGCAGAATACTTGGAAACACTGCTTCAGCTAGTGTTCATAATACTGCATATTACTAGTTTTTCAAAGTACCAAAAATTAACTATTGAAAACAATCTGAGCTTTAGATCTTAAAGGAAGACCACTAGGGTACGTTTTAAAACTTCAGTGGTAGCAGAACGGATAGGAGCTAGCTAATGTCCTTCTGACCACATGGCAGCAGAGGCCTCTAAGATTCGCAGTAAGGATGCTAGGAAAGCAAGCTCTCTTTTTCCAATACGTGTTTTCATTTGTCTTCCTCTTGTAATAAAGGCATCTACCTTCTGCCAGTATTTCCTGAGCTATGCAGTGAATTCTTTTGAAGATTATTAAATTGGCATTTTCTTGACTTTTCCTTCCTTTCAAAATTAATATCTTTAACATTTGACCAGTCAAACTCCCAGGCACAGCTTCTTCCATGCAGCAGTAGTTATCTCAGCACTGCAAACAAGACCCTTGCTAGATGCTGATTCTTACAGCACAAGCTGTTTTCCATCTATTCTGCAAGGAATGATTTCTAATGAAAAGAACAGCATTAAATTCTCAATGACAACCAACCTTTACTCATTTCTTCCCCTGTGGGGATTTGATCAATCTCTGCAGCTTCCTGCTTAGATGCCGTACACAGGGGATACCACTTTGGGGGCACAGCTAACCCATGAATAATTGAAGGAGTGGTTTTTGAGGGAATACTTCGAACATTCCCAGCAGCTACAGCCTGACTATGCATCTCCCATGTAACGCTCTTTACATCAAAGTTGGAAGGTGGCTTTTACTGTTGTATCATTTCTGTAAAACTTAGGGTGTGCAGTAAGCCCGTAGTCTAATCTGTTGATCCATTCTGATGCTTAGAACAAAATATTTTAAGGCAGGAATGATAGAGAAAGGGATAATAGGAAATAGTTTCAGAAGAGGAAACTAAAAGCCCATTGCAACCCTGAAAGAATATGATAACTAGACAATGGGAAACTTACTGCTTAGTTTCACAGCTGAAAAAAGCCTTGATAATCAGACCTTATAAAAAATACTTATTTCCCAAGATCTTGTCCTTAAAGGGAGGGAGGGAGGGAGAAAGAGGCAGAACAAAACATAAGTTCCAAGCTTGCTAAACATGTCACTTGGGATAACATCACTTCTGTTTGTCCTGAGTAAACACAATGCCAGATCAAGAGCCAGAGGATAATCTTTCACTCTAAATTGTTTTCCTGTAATATCTGAGGCTGCGCAGTACAAAATCAGGAGTGGAGAAGCTGTCCTCAGTCTTTTGCTTTGCCTGCTGATACAAGCATGATTTTATTATACAAACATTTGCTCCATTAATTGTGATTATTCCTAATCCTCCATTTTGCTTAATGGCAAAACATTTCACTGGAGGAAGAAAAAAATTAGATTAAAGTGAAGACTTTTAGGCAGTAAAGGCTACTAATTGAAACTGGAAGGGATTCTCCCATGATGTAAATTCAAAATTACAAAAATTACTGCTAGGATAACTGGAGAAATAATATCTCAAAATCTTTATACAGGCACGTTTTTATGTGGTCTAATGCAGTTTTTGTTTTTTTTTCCTGCTCTGTAAACTTAGCCTAGCTGTAGTAAACATTCATACCTGTAGTTAGACATACGTGTATGTGTGTTTGTATGATGTGCGTTATTTTTTTGTCTTCTGCAGGAATGTAGGGGTTTGGATTGTGCGTGTATACCCACAGAAACCTCTAAAAGCAAGTAAATCACAGAAGTGGATGCTGGAACTTTTTTTGTGTGTTATTTAGTGTCTGTCCTCTCCTGCAACAGCCCTGCTTTGAGGTTGTGGAATACAATGGTTTTTTTGTGTGTGAAGTTTGAAGGGCTTTGTTTCATTATTTTTATTCCTCTGCAGGCTGTGCTATACAGCAGTGTAGAGGCCTTAAATTTTTTCTCCTCTGGTAGTGCTTTCACCAAGGCAAAGCTGCAGCATGTGGAGGTTGATGTAACCCCCCCTTCCTCCCCAGCCCGGACGGGAAGTGCCAGCAGCGAGCTGCTCCTTCCCGCACCACAAACCCTGACCGGCAGGCGCAGAGCTGGGTGCTGAGCGTGGACGAGCATCCATGTGGATGCTTCGCCGAGAAAGTCAGCGACAGTCAGTGCTCTGGCTGGGTCTGTCAGGTGGTAGGACAGTACTTTGTAGTGACTTTCGAGGCCGGGTATTATTAAAGCTTTTGAAAGAAAATACTAGACCAAAAGACAAAAGCACTCAAATATTCATCAGTAATTTCTGTTCTTTCAAGAAATTCAAGCCTACATAGTTGTGGGTCTTTGGTTATTTTCAGTGTCTTGTTTTAACACGATTTTAGATTCATAGTGTGGCATGTAGGTTATGTCTGTCATTAAGGAGCCCCAGTGAAACACAAATTCACGTGGTTGAAACGTCTGTCTCTGAAATCAGCTCATTTCTGTACACTTTCTGTTCTGAGCCTCCTCCTGGTCCCCCACCCCCAGGTCCATGAGGCGTGAGCCGGATTAGCTCAGTGACTCTTATCGGGCCTCCTTTTCCTGTTACCCCCAGATAAATTTATATGACTTCAAGAGTGAACTCCAGGCATAACCTTAAATCCTGCTGGGGACAGGAGCTGCATTTGCTGAAGCTCGGTGCTGGTGAATAGTACCCCACTGTGCTCTATATGGGAAAGTGTGTGGGTGGCAATTTACATGGTAAACAAAGGCAGGCAGGGAAGGCAGATAGTTAAGCTTATGTTTCTTAATGCTTTCGATCTCTTTAAAACGTTGCTGTTGAGAATTAGCAGCAAGAAATATCACAAAAGGAAGATTGGTGTAGATTTTGCTATTTTAAGTACCAATCTTTAATTAAAAGGAATTTTAATGCATGTTTATTGTGAAATTCAATTTATGATTTGAAATTAAATTTAGGAATATCAATTGTGCTGATCTCTTGGTAGTAGCAAATAAAGACTGTACCTGCATCTGTTCCCTTTAAAGATAAATGGGAACCTTTTATTTCATCAGCAAAAAGGGCTCACAGTCTAACAGCGGACGTG